TGGGCTGATGGCTCGGAGCCTGGAGCCTGTTTCCGATTCTGTGTCTCCCTCTCTCTCTGCCCCTCCCCCGTTCATGCTCTGTCTCTCTCTGTCCCAAAAATAAATAAAAAACGTTGAAAAAAAAATTAAAAAAAAAACAATAGCCCATGTATGGAGAGAGCCCAAATGTCCATCGAGGGATGAATGGGTAAAGAAGGTGTGGTATATCTATACAATGGAGTATTACTTGACAATCAAAAAGAATGAAATCTTGCCATTTGCAGCTACATGGATGGAACTAGAGGGTATTATGCTAAGTGAAAGTAGTCAGTCAGAGAAAGACAAATACATGATTTCACTCATATGAAGATTTTTTTTATTAAAAAAAATTTTTTTTAACGTTTATTTATTTTTGAGACAGAGAGAGACAGAGCATGAACAGGGGAAGGGCAGAGAGAGAGGGAGACACAGAATCCAAAGCAGGCTCCAGGCTCTGAGCTGTCAGCACAGAGCCCGCCACGGGGCTCGAACTCACGGACCGTGAGATCGTGCCCTGAGCCAAAGTCGGACGCTTAACCGACTGAGCCACCCAGGCACCCCTATTCACTTTATGTTTGGTTGCAATAAAAATTTTATTTTTTTGTCTCAAAAGTTTTTATGGGTAATTGTTGTTGTTGTTGTTTTTTAATTTACATGCAAGTTAGTTAGCATATAGTGCAACAATGATTTCAGGAGTAGATTCCTTAATGTCCTTTGCCCATTTAGCCCATCCCCCCTCCCACAACCCCTCCAGAAACCCTCTGTTTGTTCTCCATATTTAAGAGTCTCTTATATTTTGTCCCCCTCCCTGTTTTTACATTATTTTTGCTTCCCTTCCCATGTGTTCATCTGTGTCTTAAAATCCTCATATGAGTGGGGTGCCTGGGTGGCTCAGTCGGTTAAGCGTCCGACTTCAGCTCAGGTCACGATCTCGCAGTCTGTGAGTTCGAGCCCCGCGTCAGGCTCTGGGCTGATGGCTCAGAGCCTGGAGCCTGCTTCCTATTCTGTGTCTCCCTCGCTCTCTGTCCCTCCCCCATTCATGCTCTGTCTCTCTCTGTCTCAAAAATAAATAAACGTTAAAAAAAGTTTTTTTAAAAAACAAACATAAAGTGAATAAATAAAGTGTACAGCTTGACTTACATATGTATATGTTCATGTAACCAAATGGCATATTTTTATTGAAAAAATATTTTTCTGTGCAATATCTAAGTAATTTCTGAAAGTCACTAGAGAAATGGGCATTGTGAGCAAAATGTTGTTTTGAATGTAATTTTTTTTAAGTTTATTCATTTATTTTGGAGGGGGTGCAGAGAGAGAGGGAGAGAGAGAATCCTAGGCGGAGATTTGACGTGGGGGCTCAATCTCAGGAACAGTGAGATCATGACTTGAGCTGAAAAAGGAGGTTGATGCTTAACTAACCGAGCCACCCTGGTGTTTCTCACCTTAACAGAAATGCTTTCAACATTGCATCATTACTGTGATGTGTGCTGTAGGGTTTTTGAAGATATCCTTCATCAGGTTATGGGGTGTTCTTTTGTATCAAT